GCCATGAACGCTTTGCCCGCTTCCAGGTGGGCTGCAGTGCTCGTTTCGATGACCTACAACATGTCCGCCCGGAGGAACTCCGGACCACCTCCAACACCATTGAACTCCAGGCCTGGCAGACTAAGGTGGCACGGGCAGGTCGGATCCGAACGAAACCGGTCCCGCTGATCTGCCCGAAGTACAGTTTCTCCGGAGCACCCTGGTATCTGCAGTTCGCAAGGCCTTCGAGGGCATGGACTATCTCCTCCCCACGATCAGCAAAGACTTCGCAGGACTGATCCCGGGAGGTGACCGAGCCCTACGCTGGCTCAAAGACGCCCTCCGACGTCGGGGGGTGGCCCAGGAGCATGTTACGCCCCTCACCTGGCACTCTTTCCGGGTCTTCATTCCGGACTGTGCCTTCCAGCTTGGGGTTCCCCGCTCGGAACGGCAGTACCTGGAAACTGGATGACTGAGTCGACTGCTGATGTCTATACCCGGGAGAAACGAAATGTTGTCACCGCCATCTGGACCAAGGTGGCGGACAAGGTGAACTCCCTCAAGATGACGCTGGGCCGTGAACGCAGGGAAGACCTCAACCAGAGGTGGTGGATGCAGACGAGCGGCGCCCGGGATCGCCGCCTCGGTCCACACGACGCTCCATACACCCCACCTATGGGAGAGGGCTCCCCACAACCCGACCAGGTGACCCCGGCACCACTGACTCGTGGGATATTGTGGAGGGGAGCAGACAATGGCCTATACAGCGATCCGCCCCCCGAGGGCGACCCAGCGGACCAGGACTACTCCTACCAGGTGATCAGCTCGAATACGGTACGGGGCCCGGAGAAGCAATTTCGTGTACACCTCCTCACTGTGGAGGGGTTCTGCTTGGGCTGTGGTTGGCGCCCCAGAAGCGCCCAGATGACAGTGCTGACACCTGGGGAGTACTGGGCCAACCCAACGGGCTACGGCAAGTGCGCACGGTGTTTTGCCAAAGGTGACCTCCCCAAATCGTGGTTTGTGAGCCGTCTTGGCACAGTGGACATCCCTGATCTTGAGGTTGACGCGGAAAGCTCGGCCACGTCGGGTTCCGAGACGGATGACTCCGTGGACACCCAGTCGGAAGCTGATGCCGTACCATTACCGAAGGTGCTCCCAGTTGAATCAATCTGAGGCGCTTTGCTTTTGACCACCTCTCAGCCTTGAGCCACGGCCAGGTGCCCCTTGGCCCTGGAATGGTGTCGGGGGAGGGGCAGGGACCCAGGCCACACACCTCGGCCTGCCTGCATCCTACACAAATGGCGGGTGTGCCAGGCAGACCTCCGGACTGGGCGAATCCTACTGCCTGACACAACCTTGTCCCCCTGGCGAAGTCCAGGGCAGTTTGAAATGAACTAAACGATACAGGATCTGGGGGAGGACCCCAGCATCAACCAAAGCGCATTGGAAAAAGCATGCCTGCAGCTTTTTGCGCTCTTGGGATCTTTTTGACTTCTGGGTACATATTCACACTTGCAGGTAGCTTGCGGATGCAAGTTTTATGTTCGCTGAAGTTCACAAAATGTCCCACCGGGACATTTTGGCTCAAGTTGGTGGCAATCACACGCAGGATTGCGCCTGAAGTTTGGGAAGAAAACCCACCCAACCCGCCCTTGATGGCAGCACCCCTGGGCGGTGCAGGTGGTGGAGGGGGGGCAGGGGGCGCCCCCCCAGCGGAACCAGCCAAACCCCCCGCGGAGGCACCGGAGGCCCTCCAACCACATCTTGACCTTTTGACGAAACCGCTTGCTCTTATCCTGGTCGCCAAACAGATTCCCTGGGTGGTTCAGGCAAAACTGGCCCAGGAGGGTTACAAAGATGGGCCCCCCCTAGTTAAAACACTTGTAACTTACTTGGTGAAGTTACAAATTACTTAAAACTAAGTTAGCGGGAGGGCTTCGTAAGTAAGATGTAACTTAAATGTAGTTCTAATTGGTGATTTTTGATGTTCAAAACCTATGTTTTTCAGGTTTCCCAGTAGCAAGGCCCAAACCGAAGGACATCGAAAAACTATGCTTTTTACCTGGGAAAGCGCTGCTGTTGCAAGGGTTTTTAATGTAGAACACTCACCGCGCCGCTTTGCTGAAGAAAAGCAAAAAGCAAAACAAAAAAAGCAAAAAATGCGCTTCGAATTTCTTCGGTGGACCACCACCGCGCTAAAAGAAAAACACTTTCTACTTTAAACCATCAAAGCGCGTAAGAAAAACAGAACACACACAATGACCTACATCTGTGTGTTAGGAACACGCTGGGCGGTGGTCCGTCCAAAAAATTGAAGGCGATGGTCCGTCCAAAAAATTGAAGGCGGTGGTCCGTCCAAAAAAGTTGATGGCGGTGGTCCGTCCAAAAATTTTGATCGCGGTGGTCCGTCCAAAAAGTTGTGGCCGGTGCCCAAAAAACGCGGTGCACCCTGATGAACAAGAGGCTATATGTACAGTAGATGTACGGTAATGTACGGTAGATGTACGGTAATGTACGGTAGATGTACGGGAATGTACTGTAATGTACGGTAGATGTACGGTAGATGTACGGTAGATCTCCCGTACATCTACCGTACATTCCCGTACATCTACTGTACATATAGCCTCTTGTTCATCAGGTTACATCAGATCTTTTGAGGGACTGTGTGTGTGTGCGTCTTGTGATGCGTCACGGACAGGCAAGGATCTACTCCTCAATTTTGGGGCGTGATCCAGCTTAATGGCTTCTAGTTGTTCCATGGCCTACATAATGGATTCGTTACACTATATTCTACTACGTGCGCGTGTTGCATATTTATGTGTTTCTGTGTGCAAAGTACTACTCTGTCGTACGGGTGGACCACCACCCCACAAATTTTTCACGACTAAAACATAAAAAACAATCGCGCCCATAAAAACAGAAAAACTGTTTCCAAAACAACACAAAATACAAAGATTTGCTAATCAGTCTCAGTTCTACACAAAAAAGAAGAGTACACCAAAAAACATTGAAAAACGTTTCTCTGCAAACCCGTCCACAAAAAACATAGTTTTTTCAATGCAAAAACCTAAGTTCCCTAAGTAAGTTGTAAGTGATTTAGCACTAATTTAGCACCCTCCAACATAAACTAGGATAACTTACTTATATATATCGAAAGTAATTTGTAACTGCAACGTAAATACCACCAAGAACTTAGAACACTTCACAATCTTAGACCAGCTTACAACATCAGTTAACCCATGTTATAACATATGTTACGGCACTTTACAAGTTCTCCAACTAGGGGGGGCCCATCTTTGTACGTGACAGTGGAAGACCTAGGGGACCGTTGGAACACCCCGGAGGACGCACGGGCCCAAGGACCCCGGGACCTGGAGTTCCGGAATGGGGAGAACAACTTCGACGAAGCCTCCTCCAGGTTTACTGCCATGCGCCTGTTACAGGCGGTTAGAGCCGCCAAGTCACTGGCTCAGACACAGCTTCATGTTGGCCGCACGACGGCCACGGAACCCCCAGGCACGGCCAAGGGCCCTCTGGACAGCCTCTGCGATCGGCGGGTCTTGGAGACCGCCTATGCTGAGGCCTACAACTGCCTGAAACCCCCATGTCAGCCAAGGCCATTGAGAAGGCCATGGGCCGGATCCAGTGGGCCACGGCGTGCTGTCCTTTGACCAAGTCTCCAACCGCTCTGGGCTTGGAAGACGGCGGTCAAAACTATGGGCCACCCACCCAAGGTGGTCCGCATGTTGGCCGCCCTCCTGAAGGAGCTCTTCACGCACCCATTTGAGCAGTACTCACCTTTCTTGCCAAAGTCGCCTTGGTGGGGATGCAGCGATGCTATAGTGCCTCGAAGGCAGGTGAAGCCTATGTTGGGGGCTGGTGCTCGACCTCCCCAAACCCCACCAAGGACCAAGTCCTCTGGTTCCACTATGCCATTACAGCAGATGCCCATCCTTGGGCGTTCAAGGATGGCAACCCTCAGAAACGCATTGCTGCCTTGGAACTCCTGGGCACACTGCTTCTTTGCAAGCACCTGGTGGCCCAACAGGGCCAACTACCGGGAAGAGTTCGCCTCCCGGTGGGCAGTGACAACTCAGGCAACATCTTCAGCCTGCTCAACCTCTCGGCCAAGAAACCATACTCGGCGGCACTGCTCATGGAATTGGTTCTCTTCCTTCATTGTGAGGGCTGTAGCATTGCTCCCAACCACATCCCCAGACAATACAACACCTGGGCGGATGAATTGACTCATCCTGACTTTGAAGGATTCTCCTTAGATCGCCGGTTACCGGCACCGGAGACTCTCTTCATTTTTCCTTTCGCTACAAAACTTTTGTCCTCAACGGGTTTTTCCTAGCTGCCCACCCAAGATCCCGTGACCGGATCCGGTGGGCTGTCCTCCCGACCCTGTCCCCTGGCACCTCGACAGGTGCCTGTTGGCCCTGGGAGGCCAGGGGACAATCGGGTGTTGTGGCAACGACGGGCGAATCCTACTGCCTGACACACCCTTGTCCCCCTGGCGAAGTCCAGGGCAGTTTGAAATGAACTAAACGATACAGGGTCTGGAGGAGGACCCCAGCATCAACCAAAGCGCATTGGAAAAAGCATGCCTGCAGCTTTTTGCGCTCTTGGGATCTTTTTGACTTCTGGGTACATATATATTTATATATAGCACTTTTGTGGATAAACAAACGGGAAACTAGCCTAAGCGATGACCAGAAGAATACAAAGGCAACGCCGCAGCGATTGCTAATATCAACGTTGGGAATGCCAGAAAACCAACCGACACAGCGCAGAGGAGTCGCATGTGCAATTCTCTGAGGGAGGCATGGCTCTGAGGGAGGATTTATGCAATACAACAAGAAACAATCTACGTTCATACAGTAGAAGGAGTTTGCAAAAAAACAAAGGAAACGCATACGTAACACACACTCAATACAAGCAGCAGAAATTAAGGATGAATGCGCTTAAATACACTAAAGAGTTGCTGCTTCAATACCATAACTTTTCAATGTACTGTAAAAAGCATGAAGTACCAATGATTAGAACTGTCAAGCTCATTGAACACATGAGTTTCCTTTATTGGGTTTCATTCCGATGTATATAAAGGCTTTAGTTCTATTAAAAAAACATCCCATAGCACTTGTCACAGCGTTCCGTGCACGTCCGGTGGACCGCTCTTGAGACGTCGTCTTCCCACGGGAATCCCACTGCAATTGCACTTCGTGTCACCCCGAACCCCCACAAAGAATCTTCTGTCGTCTCATCAACAACTCATAATGTTGTGAGGTTGATGAACATGTTGTGAAACCAATCATAATGCTTTCTACATGACATCCACATCCTTATTCTGGAAGGAAACAATCATCCGGTCTTCTCATCCATGGCCACCAGGTCGAACGAGTCGAATTTAAAGTGATTATCAACATGAGCACCACTACACTCATCGGAAGTCGGAAACCGACCCGGTGGCAAAAACATGTAATTTCTTTCAACAGCCACCAGATGAGCTGATGAGCTCATAAGAAGGTGCAAAAACACAAACACTGGGGTGCCCACAGCCCCCCGACCTCAACAACAACTATATTTTTTACATTCAAATAATGAACAGCGGGACGTGCTTGGCTGAGTTGAAGAATCGTTGTTGCAATCTCGTGGCTAGCACAGGCATATATATACGGCGTCTTGATCATTTTCAAGCCTCTGCAGGGATTTGTTCTTTGAGTTTAGCATGAGAATCTGGTATACAATCAAAAAAACATCCTGGCCATTCAATCTTCCTGTTCTTGGCTTTCTGGAATTGCCACAGGCTCTGGTCTGGTAAAGCACATCAGCCTGTAGCTGAACCTTTTCTGGACATTTGACGTTGTCATGCTTAGCTTGCTGTGCCAAGGACACAGCAGCATTCTTGGTGCACAGTCAAAGGGCTTTGGCCTTGAATCTGCAAACCAAACAAAGCTACTATTCTTTTGTATGTTTTTGGATATGTATAACATCATTTGGATCTTACAATGTTGCCTTATTAAAGTGCCAATCCAGTTGATAAAAAGAAAAGATGCAACACAACACATAGGAAAACACACTGTAGATGCTATATCAGTAGAACAGGGCGACCATGATCAGGGCAAACAGTTGTGGATGATGAGAAACAGCTGCACTTGTCATGGGCATGACAAACCTGTTTGGCTTGACCAAATGATGCGCAACACGTAGAATGTAATGCTTGCTTGTATAGATGCATGAAGTGCAGGATCCTTGTCGGAAGCTGCTCCTGCCGTTTAGGCAGAACGAATGGGGCGTCCTGTACCCTGCCTATTGTTGGGCAGCTGGTGCCGCGCTTGGTTGTTTGCAGTTCATACCGGCTTCTCTGTGTGGTGCTTGTTGCTTTCAAACTCCAAGGCCTGGGATTTGGAGGCATTGTGCTTTGGAGTGCACGGTGCCTAGCGGTGCTTGGAATCCGTACGGAAACAACGGGCGCCCATGGTGAGAGCATGGCATTGGGCATTCTGGCCCCAACAGTTGGAGGGTTGGGTGGCTGCTTTAGATTTCCTCGCGCGTCACATTCTCCCTGGGTTGCAATTGTAGATCAACACAAATGTTATATTAACTGATCTACGGATCTATTTGAATCTGTTTATCCCCCAGCAGAACATATGATCATCCAATAGCGGAACGTTCCAAAATTGTAACATAAAGAACATGAGGCTCACATCACTTGCCCCTAATGCAGCAAGCTCGATAGAGGAAGATCATTGTAGACAAGGCTTGTGGGTTTTGAGAAACTTGGTGGTAGCAAGTTGAGCAGGCTAACAGCGACAAACTATTCCTATGAGAATGGACTAACGTTGAGGCAAAGGTTGAATTGATTGGAGTGACAGCGTGCTTGTGACTTGGCTTTTGTAGGACCATGGGTTGCGGGAGACTTTCTATACAATATACAATGGGGTTGTGAAAAGTGCTAAAAGGTATAGAAACGAACCGTGCACAGTTCTCTACTTAGAACCCAGTATACAAAATTAAAATCCCATATGTCAATCTGTTGCGAGGACTCCTCTTGTTGTTTGGAGCTTGAAAGAGAACCACCTACATTCCTTCAACAGATGTATGCCTCTGTCGTTTCACCAAGATTGCTGACCAGGCAATCCGCTTGCAGCATGGGTACAGGGCCTCAAACTTGGGTAACTTGAAGAGCCGGGCAAATTCACTCACTGATTTTGGAAGGCGCGTGGGCATGACCAGCCTCTGCAGGCTCTCCAACCTTTTTCCTGAATGCGCAGTGAAGCGTTCTTGATTGGTTCTGGGTTCTGGGGTGTGGGGGTTCGCGTGACGTGACGAAATCGTTGGTGTTGTCACTGTTCGCATGGATGCCGAGGTGTGGATAGAAGCGTGATGCGTCAGATTGTGAAAAAGCATCAAAACGTGACTCAAAAAGTGTGACCTGTGATTTTTTGCAGTGCAGGTGCAGCATTTTCGTGAGGTCGGCAGTCCGCGTCGCTGTGGCATTGGGATTGGCGTTTCCACGGGATGCTTTCGAGGTGTTGAATGTCGCTATGCCTGTGAGATTAGCTCTTGCAGAGCTTGCGTGAAGCTGTGTCTTTGAAATTGGCCCAGGGTCTAAAGTCCAAGCTAGATTTGCGATTTAGAATGATGTGAGAAGTCCCGCAAAAGTCATGCGTCAAGCCTTCCGATGGAGTGTTCTGCATGATATTCTACCCGCCGCTGACGTAGGATTTGTCGGAGGTATGCTTAGAAACACAACTCCCATGTCATGAGGAAAGAGTAAAATGTGCCAAGTGCCACAAGTTCCAAGTCATAACGCCAAAACTAGCAAAGTCAGGAAACTTACAACACTCTCTTAAGGACTCCTGGAATGGTAGAAATGCAGGACAAAACGCATGACTGGACAATTGTGCGCCAAAAGCAACCATCGGCAAAGCCAGGACATAGGAAGAAGCTGGGCTTAAATAAATAGCCCTTGCCTTTGCTCTTTCCTTTTCCTTTTCCTGTGCTCTTGCCACCTCTGCCTTTCCATGAGCTTCTCCCTCCTCCATTGTCGCCACCACGCGCCACGGAATAGAAGCCTCTTGACAATTGGCCCATTCCCTCATTCTTTTCGTCGGCTCTCCAAGTAGCTAAGTAGCTGATGTAGGCCTTGTCGCACTGGTCATAGGCTTCATCAAGTTCTTCTGGCCATTCATCTTCATCAGCTTATGCCTCATAGATCTCATCATCCAACCAGTCATAGTCCTTTGCCAACTCCAAGGCCTCATCATCGTCGTAGGCCTCCCACTCATCTTCAAAGAAAGTCTCACATCTTCTCCTCCGGCGCGAATGTCCTTGGCGTTCGGCTTGTGGTCACCGCGGAACATCTTCATCAAAGCTTTGCGCGCCTTCTCGTACTCAAGTTCACCTTGGCAGAGGACTTTGATCTGGATCTAATTCCACCTGAGAACGCCCGATCTTGTCATGAGGCGCCAGCCGGGCCGGCGAGCAAGATGGGGATGTGCGCCTTCACCTCATTCATTTTCGTCATCGTTGTCCGGTGCCTCACGAGATGCGCTTGCATCTCTTCGTTCTTCAAGCGACAAGAAGAACTCGTCGCACCGCTCCTTCCACTGCTGCTTCAGCAGAAGGTCGATGAATTTTCGCTCAAATAGTTCCAGGCTTCGGCGAAATTCGCTATGACCGTTGAGTCAATCCTTCAGCGGATGGACAAGCTTCTGCCAATCCATCATCCAAGCCACGAACTTGAGGTGTGAACGACGTTTGTGATCCTGTGCCTCCATTGGGCTGTTCTTCTTGTGGTTAACCTTGTGCTCGTTGTTGGTCTTCCATGTCTTTGTCCTGTCGACGTAGGGTGATGTGCGGGAACTTCAAGATGATCACACTCTTTTATTGCTCACGGAGGATCACCAAAAAAGCGCAGTGATGTAGTCTCACCTAGGACAAAGGAAATCTGGAGCGCACTGGGCCCCACTACCAATATTGAGGTAGCTTCCGCCCAACATCAAAAAAGTCGGCGGATGATGACTGATTCGAGCATCAACAAAGTCAACATAGTAGTCGGTGCCAAAAGTCAAAAGCCCCAAAATCAAATCAGAAAGTTTCAGAAAGTCGAAAATATAATTGGTCGAGATCCGACTTTTTTTGCTTTAGATTTCTTTTTTAACAGTTTATATTATATGTTTCAATCCTTGTTGGCACTTCCAATTGAATTTTTGACTTTAAAACAGGCTGTCCTGGCCTTACCGCATTAAAGATTTTGATAAGTCAAGCAAGAGTGACGCGCAAAAATGTCATATAATTTTTCAAGCCAGAGTGTCCACAGCAGCCTGTCGAACGTGTCAAAGAAGATTGTCGCAAGAGCAAGAGTGTCCTGGAAGAGTGTCGCGCAAAAGCCTGTCAAACAAAAGTTTCTCGAAGACTGTCACGCCAGATTGTTGCGCAAGAGTCTTCCACAAATGTGTGGCGCAAGTGCGTCGCGCAAGAGTGTTCTGCAAGAATGTCACGCGCCAGAGTATCAAACAAGAATGTCCTAGAATAACCCAGCAAGGGTGTCCCCCAAGTGTGTGTGTGTGTGCCCCTTGTAGTCACAGGGATTCTTTTGAATTGTTTTAGCAGGGGGGCACTGGAGGCCCATAGAGCTGTGCCCAACGAAGCTCTCTATGGTGACCTCAGGATGTGCAGCCTGATCAGCTGCGCGTACCTGCTGGTAAAACTTTTGAACAAGCTTTGACTCCAATTTCCAGTAAAGGGTTTGTCGTTATCTCCCCTGCCCGGAGATGTACGTGCCCAGAGCGGGCGGAGTGGCGGAGTAGGCTTATGCCAAAGTTATTTGCCATGACTTGCTGAAGTATTGAATTCCAAGCTGGCTCATGCCTTTACGTGACCGCAGCGGTCTAAGCAGCCAGCCATTTTGGCACGGCGTACGTGGCCGCAGCGGCCCAAGTTTGTTCTAGATTGATTGGAGTCTGTCGCGACCTTAGCCCCCTTCCTCCTCCCCTCCCCTCCTCTCTCCCCTTTTTGTCATCTTGGGGTGTTCCTGAATGTAATAGTCAGGTTCACCCCTTTCTCTCACTGGTGTGTCCCTGGACGCTTGTGCGTAGCTGGGAACACCAGTCCTCTTCCTCTCTTTTGCCTCTCTCTCTCTCTCTCTCTTTTCTCCTTCCTTTCCTTTCCCTCCTTCTTGTTTGGGTGTCCCTGGATGCTTTCGTCATAGCTGGACTAGGGGTTCCTGGCCTTACTACTAAGCGCAAGGACGCTCTAGGGCAGAGATGCCTCCCCTTGGGGAGGCGTGAGTGTGTGTGTGTGCCCCTTGTAGTCACAGGGATTCTTTTGAATTGCTTTAGCAGGGGGGCACAGCAGGCCCATAAACCTGCGCCCAACGAAGCTCTCTATGGTGACCTCAGGATGTGCAGCCTGATCAGCTGCGCGTACCTGCTGGTTGAACTTTTGAACAAGCTTTGATTCCAATTTCCAGTAAAGTGCTAATGAGCTTGGCAGACATCAGCGTACGAAGTCATTTCGACCTGCTCGTCGCTTTCGGTCTTGAGCTTTTGGCCCTTTCTCCTTTTGAAGACCTCCAGGCTCCATAGGGTTCTCCTGGACTTTTCAGGATTTGGTTTCTTAGGCTGGCGTGTGGCACGTGGCATTCAGTTCCGTACGCCCAATCATAAGTGTGTGTAACCCTTGGAGTCACAGGGATCCTTTCGGATTGGTTTTCCTGTTTTCGAGTGGATATCACGCAAATGCGTGCCAACGAAGCTATGCGTGATAGTGGAAGCCAGGTCTGATCAACCTGGTGTACCTGCCTTTTGGAAGTGTTGACAAGGCTGTCACTCTCATTTTCCTTAAAGGGCTATAGGGCACTGTGCAGACAAGAGCGGCCGCCGTCATTTCGTTCGGGACTTGGAGTCCTTTGGAGGCCTTGAATAATTTTGCACACTTTCTTGACTTTAATGCGCCTGAATCTTGAGGCGTTCATGCCTAGGCGGGCGTGTGGCATGGGGCATTCAGATCAGTACGCGTTCCCATAAGTGTGTCTGGCTTCATGCCAGCCCAGGGTGACCCCGACGAGTGGCCCTTGTGGACCCGTTGAACCGGGGTTTGTCTTTATCTCCACTGCCCGGAGATGTATGTGTCCAGAGCGGACAGCAGGAGGCTTAGGCCAAAGTTATTTGCCAACAAGACTTGCTGAATTATTGTAGCCCAGCGCAATCAATCGGCGTGCCAAGCTCAAACAACTCCAAAACAACGTCCCGGTCTCAGCCGAACTCTCTCTCTGCGCTATTGGCAAGCACACAACAACATCCACCACTACACCACCATCCAACTTTCCTCACATGGCACATACGACCAGGCATGGATTCACAAGCGCAACCACATATCCAATTGGATGGCGCCTCTCAACTGGCCTTTCATCTCACCCCACCTCAAGCTCAAAGCCCAAGGCTGCAATTCACCAAGCACAGTGCTCACTTCTACTCCCGCCTTGCCACACACAAACGCCTTTTCCATCGCCTACGCCGACGTCAACACACCCTGAGAGAACTTCACCTAGTCACCTCCACGAAACACCACGCCCTCACCATCCTCCGCGACCTTACAAAGCACACCTCAGCACCCTTTGAAGCTGCTAAACAGCTTCGCAGCGGCCGCCACACCGACCTTGAAGTCTATGCCATACGACGCGTGGCAGCCAATCTCGAAGAGCCAGGCCGAAGCCGAGCCCTACACATCGTCCACCAAGCACTTCAATACCGCAACTTGACACCACCACGTCCCAACATACCGCTTACAGTTCCCTTCCTCGCTCACGACGACTTCCTCAAGCACACTCAACAATGGCTCCAAACTACCATACAACAGCATAAACATCTTGCCATTCCCCTGCACTTACCTACGCACCGGCTCCGCGAAGCAGCCTATAAGACACTCCGCGCCCAGCTGCGCAACCATCGACAATGGGAGGAAACCCTCCACACATTCTCACCTCCATTCTCTTCTCCTTCAACCAGACACTCCCACCACCAATGGACACTACATTCTCACCCTGGACCAGCTACATCTCCCTGCCCACCTTCGCATCTTTCTCGATGCCAACATGAACAGCGCTTTCTCCCCCAGCAAAGCCCGCTACTTTCTCACCTTTCAAGCAGCTTATCACAAATGGCGCAAACTACAAGGCCTCCCAGTGTCCTTGACCCAGCATCTCGATCCGTTCTTGCAACACCAATGGCGCCTACATG